ATGTTCATTCATTTGCTCTCAGTGAATTAATCAGCACGTGATTGCTTAGCTGCAAAGGGCCTATTGAACCTGAGACCCCAGAGGTATAGGCACCACCCTCTCTTCCCCAACATTTTTAATAGGTGGCTTAGCTTCCACTTATATTTCTATATTTGTTCTTGCAGCCACTACAGAACAAGTCAACAAAGCGAAAGAAATAATCAAGAAACTAACATTTACATTCAGATCTACTGACTTTGAAAACCCATGTAAGTTGATCATGAAGTAGTATGCATGTAGAGAGATATCCATCTACCCCATAAAATAATCAAACCATATCTCAATACTACTTGCAGCTCTCCAGAAACACTACAACCACTTAGAGGCACTGGCTCTTGATAGAGACTCACCAGAGGAAGTTGACGATCTTACTGGTAAGTTATTCCTATTAAAGAAAACATTTCATGATAACATGACTAGCAGGTAGTAAGCGAAGTTAAATTTCCATATTGCTACCATTATGATTGAAGTGTAGCCAGTGAAGTTTGATGTCTTGTTTGCCAACTACAATCTTGGACAAAACCTGTAGAGAAAATCACTAATAAAAAAATTTTTTTGTTTTTGCTTTTGTCATGAAGAATAATGTACATCCCCCATGCATTTCTGGTTTTTGTGATTCTTTTTCAGAGCCTGATGTTGAACGGTTGGACAGGAGGGCAGGCACTCTGATGCAGGAATTCAAGGACCTAGTATTCCCAGATGGCTATAACCCTGATGCTAAACCAGCCACTAAACGAAAGGTCTCGCTTCATTTAGATATTATATAAAAACTTCTCATGTTAGACAATATTTTAAAATTTGTCATGGGAAAAAAAATCTTGGTTCTTTTGAGAATTTTCTGTGGATTTGGTAAATTTTCATTCCTCCATTGAAAACGAATTCCTAATTTCATTTTAATTATGAGTTCATTATGAAGAAAGCAGGAACATAACATTTTCCTCTTACGTTTTGTTCACAGGCACCAGGTGAAGGTACAGCAAAGAAAGCAAAGGTAGAAGGCTTATCTGTGGATATTAAAGAAGAAGCTATGAAGGGAAGGGTAAGTTGATTAAAAGGTTTTTTTCCTTCCTTTCTTTTCATCATTTGTTGGTCGATTCCCTTCTTTCCTTCATTATCCCCCCTTGGTTCCCTTTCCCCCAACATTCCATCTGCTCACTCTCTCTTTTCTATTTTTCCTTTGACTTTTTTTCTTCTTTCTCTGGTTCTCATCCCTCAGCAAAAATCAACTTCTAAATTGCCCTTACACACTATGATGTCAGATGAAAACAGTTTATCGTTTTAACGCTAGGGACTATGGTCACTAGAGGGGGACAGAATGACAACACAAAGAAAACAACACCATAAAATTGCATTTACAAAACAAGAAGGGAGGAATGAATGACAACAAATATGATTATTAAAACTCAGGGATAAACATCAACACATAACATATATGGAAACGACATGTCTATGGAAACTAGACAATAATTGAAACCAAACTTTGGAAGAGAAAGAAGATTTAGTCACAATTTTTATTGTTTTTATAATCCTGTCCCCCACTTTAATCATGCTGTGATGTCATAGTGTCGTAGGGCAATTCCAATTGGAATTTCAGTATATGAAAAGATGCTCTGTGGAAATGCCATTGCTAAATCCTTAGTATTTTTCTTATTTATTTACACTTGCCGCAAGATGCCTTTTTTGATAATGATGAATCAAAAATCTTTCCTCTTATTCTGCAGCTTTCCAAGCTTACAGTTCCAGTTTTAAAAGATTTTGTCAGACAAGCCGGTATTAAATCAGGAACAAAGAAAGCTGAGCTGATAGATGCAATCAATGAACACTTTGGAATCTAATTCATAAAATAATGTAGTATAGAATTTTCTTGCTCTTACAATACTTTGTAGAATTATCGAATAGAGACACCATTTATATGTACCGAACTAGATGTTATTTTATAAAAAACAAAGCAGAATATGAATTATTAGATCCCAATAAAAACCATGTTTTCATTCATCTGGAAAACAAAATCCATAGTCAATGTCCATTTCACCATTGGGAAATATATATTGGTTTCATGGTTACTACTAGTAGATGTTGCATAGCCTTGTGGGATTGAAATACAAACAAGCATTTCAAATAAAGGCTTCGATCCTAATCCCTTAGAGCGCTGCTACGCAGGCTATATCAGTCGAAAAAACACTTCTGTGAATGTTGGAGACAACAATACTACAAAACATTGTTACAGCATATTAGCATGCAGCATGTTAACATGTGTGCTGGGCTTGGCTTTTCTGCATTTCAATCCTATTATGCACAATAATATTGTTACATCATCTGTGGAAAAATGCTACTGTATTAAAAGTGTAAATAAGTGAAAGGAAGTGTTGAAAAATGTTTATTCTTCTACCACATGTTTGGAAATTATTATTAAACATATTTCACTGCATCTGTAAAACTCTCATTGTAAGTAAGTTAGAAAGTTTTTCAATACCAAAATAGAGTACTCATTTATAAATCTCATTCACACTTCATAAAAATAAAWATATCAATCCTAACCTAATAATTTGATTGTTTTCCCATAAACTACCCCTCCTCTTATGTACATTTTCGTATTCTGCTCTAAAATGGCTGTCATGTCTTTTTCTTCTGACTTTCACTAGAGTTGACGAGGGCCTCCTAAATATTGATTGGCACCCACACAATACTGCAAAGTAGATCTCCCTACTCTTCTAAAAGTTGACCTTTCAGTCATGTCAGGGGAAAGGTCTTCCCTCAGCATTCCAAACATTCCATCACAACCAGGAAACTATGTCGGCTCAAACTCAAGATGAGTTATTGGCTTCTGTCAATCAATATTAGCTTGGACTATTGAAAATCTGACTGACAAGCCAAAATGTCAACTATATAGCCAGCTAGCTGCTGTCTAGATTATCAGCAACATGGAAACAATAAATAATTACTACAAAAATTGCCTCATATTCTACACCGGCAATAGATCATTGTCAAGGATAGGAGCCTTTCCCTGTGAGCCCCCGTTTCCATGGTGTACCATACCTAAAGACTGAGCTAGGGGACCCAGTGTAAGGTCTAGAGGTTTGAGCCACGTAAGACAAAGGCTTCTGATAAAACCAGGAATCCTCCTCCATTACCATCTGAGGGTATTTTTTAAAGTCATCTGGTGGAATTATCTCGCCTTCTACATTAATAGGCGGTGCTCTACACTCGCTCTTAATTCGTAACACCTTTCCTTGAAACTCTTGTGTTCTTCCAAATTGTCGTTCAATGGTGTTGCGCTTTTTGTCTCTTAATTTAGCCTCGTTGAGAAACTTATTGTAAGTGTTATCCCCAATGGTTGAAGCTTTAGGGATCCTAAGCGGGTAAATGTCTGCTACCATTCCTCGTATTCGTTTATCTTCTTCAACCTTTGGCTCAACAGCTCGTGGTAATTCAGCCTTCTTTGAACTTGCCCTAGAAGTCGTTCGAGCCAAACTCCCAGCGCTAACATTCGATCGTACAAATTTCAAGTTTTTCCACATATTACTGTCATATTCTTCGTCTGTCTTCTCAAGGTTTGTTGTGTCTAGATTTGTTATATCCATCCATAATCGTTGTTGTACTGTACTACAAGGTTTATCGCGGAGTTTTAAAGGAGCTTGTCGGACGAAACTTCTCGTATCTAAACAAACTTCTGATGCCGGTTTTTTCGGGGGAATCCCGAATGTTGTTCTACTTCGAGGTTTAAAGGCCATTATAGATCACAAATACTAGTTTTTTGAGGTCTTTAACGGCTAGTAAGACACTATTTTCCATCTCTTTTCGCTTCACTTCTCAACCGGATAGACTGTTTATGGCAACATTTCAGTGTCACTATGGTTGCAGATTGGTCACCCTGTGGTTTTCCCCCTTGCGGCGTGTCATAAGAGGAAGTGCAAAATGAACGAGAAAGAAAAATATATATGAAAGCAGTAAAACTCTAGAAAATAAGAGTGAAAGACAACTTAACATTGTGAAAAGAATATTAATCCATATAAATAATGAATTTTGACTAATGATTTTATTTTAGTATCAGTTTTTTTGCACCCCATTTTAAGTCCTTCGTCTCAAGCCTACTTCCGCTCCCGTCTAACACTGTACTAAATCCCAGTCATCGATCGGTGTCTCCATTCGAACCCAAGTGCAACCCTAACCGGACTACATCTCCCCTTAACATTCGCTTAGCATCGTTCTTTCAACGTAAAATAATAATAAAGAATGCCAGGTATTTGAGCTGAATAAGACCCTCGCTGAGAAAGTCACATAAAGCTTAAAATCAAAGCACAAATCACCCACACTCAGTCGCAAGCTCTGACGCCAAGCACAATCATGCTATCTCACGAGGTTAATACGGTGTGTATTTTACTTGTGGGATATTATTAAGCTGTTTATTTTTATTCCCCACGTATGGAGTGGGGTGGGATCCAGGATTTTTAGGGGGAGGGATGGGGATGGGTTACGAACGAAGCCGCCCCAGTACGTATTTCGAGGCATTTTAACGAAATTTTAAAACAAAGAAACGAAAATGGAGATGATACCAGAGGCATGACCAATTTTCGTTGTTGTTTCAATTGCAACGTGACTTTCCAAAGTTTCCGGCCAGATGTTGTAACAGCGAACAACCAAATATGCTTTAAAATATTCAGTAGTAAAACATATAAAGATTTAAAATATATACATATTACACTCTGTTTTGGTTCTTTTTCAAAGTTTTGCATTCAGTAAATCTTTGTTCAACATTATCACCCCACCCCTTCCCCCAAGGAAGAAAATTGCTTTGGTATCAACGGTAAGTTCTCCTCATTATTTCCGGCGTTTTTGGTAGTAAAATAATTTCAAACATATAGATTTGCCGTGAATAAAAAAAATATAATCACTAAAATGAAACATATCTAGAGTCATATCATATCTATTTTAGGAACAGAACCCTTATTTAGTTATAAAAGATGCAAATTTCTATAAAGAAAGAGGAATATTGGGAAATTTTCATAATAATGAATATTAATTATATCATAAAACTACCGTAAAATTACCCCTTACAGTCTAAAGAAAGCTAAAAATGAGTTTTTATCGAGATTATGTATTTGATATTGGGATATTCGGTAATGTAGGATATGCCGTTTGTACCCAAGGGGCCGAATTTTGGCGAGAAAATAGCCCCACATCCGGGATCTTTGGTATTGAATAGCAGCACTCGCTTACGTATATATGGTCATTTCACTTTTGCACTCATGTCATACAGGGTATAGTAGACCCCTATACTCAACCAAAAAAATCCAAAATACCGCCAACAACATCGTTCTTGGCAAAACAAGAGCCCATATGGAGCTGGAAAAATTACAAGCTCAGCTGAAGAGCCATATTCAGGAGCACCAGGTATTTGGGGAGGTTTTTCCTGTGGACGTTTTCCGTGCGCTTGTTGTCTTGTTGATACGCGATGAGCACTTGTGCTACCAAGTTTCTCTGAATACTGTTCCTTCAAAGCTTTGAAATACGGACTTCTCGCTCTTAAATATTCTTGCTGAAATATCAAGCTGGGGTTTTCTCTTGGTTTTGAACTATCTCGGCCCCAGTAAATCGAACTTTTTTAGGTTTTTGGAATTTTGGTTGGGAGAGACTTTAGTCGGTTCAATTTGCCTTACATATTTAATCAACTACATCGCTTTGAAGTCTTGTTTTGGTATTTCTTCTAGATTTAAATGCTTATCACAAACTTCTTCAATCCTTCGAGGGTCTTATTCTCTCATTATATAAATTATTTTCACAGGTATTAGTGAGACAAATCAAGTCCGACCCACAGGTAAGGAATATATTTTGGGGTTTTCTTCTCTCACTGTGTCTCGGCTGTTCATGAGAATTCACAATTGTTTTCCAAAATTTAACTAATAGTTTCAAGAGTCGAATATTCCCTAACGGCTGTATCTTCGATCTTTCTACAGAATCCCGATCTTCAGAAGAGACTTAAAGGTCTACAGACTCACATTACAAGTTTAAGCGAACAACAGGTTAGTTTGAGGAAGGGTTTTAGAAGTTCAAGCATATTTTTTGGATTTTCATTGAGGGGATCGAAAAATCGCATGCAAAATGAGTTGAGCCAAGTCTTTGAGGGCGGTCTTTGAATATGGTATTTTTGCATGGCATTAAAACTTCCGATCTCCCAATCAAATGCCTCTTTCCACTCCTTTAGGACTAAAATCCTTAGTCGATCTATTAAATATTGGATCGCTAGGCAGAATTACACAATAAAGGCTCCCAAAATTCAAAGATTGTGAACTGTCCCAACTTGCCTAAAGTTTCTGGGAAAAAAGCGATTTGTTTTTCACCGGGTTCAAAGGTCTAGAATTATGTCACTCCTTTGATATTTTAAATTTAAAATTCCAGCTTCTAGGAAATAAGCCTTCATTGAGTAGATTTTTCTCAAGGCAACCGGAATAAAATTTTCAAAGGTGGAGATTTTCGGAATTTGAATAAATTTAAAAGGGAAGGCTGTCAATAATCCTTATTCCTCGTATTCGAATATTAATGTTCGCAAGACAATATAGATATTTTGGGGTCTTCCTACTCAATCTATATTACTTTCCGCGTTCGTGCAACACTGTACATCAAGAAATAATAACTTAAATTTCTTGGATTGTTACTTGAAAATAAATTATTAACATTGAAATTACCTTTTTGTTTTTGTTTCATTTTTTTCCTAATACTTTTTACTTTATTATTCGATTATTTCCCTTTATTCTTAAATTCATTATCTAGCTATGACATTTCTCTTTTCCACATTTTGAATTCTTATTAATTTTATTTATCTTTAATATTCCTAAAGAATTCAATTTTTCTTTGATGTTTGTAACCAAATTCAGATTTAGAAATTTTTGGCTTTGTTTTTCAAAATCTAATATATTTTTTCAATGTTTCTTTTCATTTTATCAAAAATTATCATCTCGATGCCAATATAGAAATTGTTAGCTATATAGAATTTTTGGTTAAATTATTATAGTTGTTCAAATGGCCATTTACTTTGGCTTTATCTATTCAATTCTTGTAAAATCTTTCACTATTTTTTGTTTACAGAATCGAGTTGTAAATCACCTACGACAGGAACTTCTCAAGGTAATAATATTTGTGCAATGCCGCAATTCTTAATCTAATCCCCTTTTTTGTTGAAATAAAAAATCAGCAACTTATAGGCATATAATATCATTACAAAATTAACTTTTTCAGTTTCCTGTTAGCATAAAATCATTAATAATACAAAAAGTTTTATTATCTTCGAATTTAAATCTCTTATTTTAAGACATCTTTAATTTGTTTGGGAGAAAATATGGTTATTTTAATTAGAGTGAAAATTTTCACAAAAAAAAACTTTTTCCAGTTAAATTATAATAATTGTGTTACTTAAATGCCACTCTTAAAACCCTTGACTCTTATTTTCTAATATACTTCAAAACTAATTTATTGTATTGTGTAGGGTTAAAAACTCCTTCTTAAATAATTATGAAAAATTAGAAAATTATACAATGAGAGGTATTGATGAGCAAAATATATTAACTACTTTTCTATCGAGAATCAGCCCTCTTGATGAACCATAACAACCCATCTTGCAGAATATTATGGGCGAGAAAAGTTGATTGACTTTCGTCATCATGACAAACAACCAGATTCTTATTATGAGGACATTTTGAATTTTAAAACTCCCAATTATTTTCTTTCTTTCTTTTGTTTCCTATTTCTTTGTTTTATTGTTCTTGTTCTTTTTTATTATATCAAACTACTAAGTTGTTACTTTATCAACATAATAATATATATTTATTTTGTATAGTATAGTATAATATAGTACAGTTTACAGTTTTCATTAGACCTGATGATGTTGTCGAGATGACAGCAAAACATTGTCTTTTACAACTAGTATTCTTATTAAAATATATTTTGTAGTTCTAGAAATTATCGATACCCATATGTATAGAACTACACATTAGTATGTCATTAATTTATAACATTTTCTAATCCTATAGTTATATCATAAAAGTGTGATGTCAATCGTAAACAAAAACAATTCTGGGTTCAAAATAAGATGTTTCAAAATCACATTCCTTTTTTCATGACAGGATTTGTTTTCAAAATTTCTCTGTTATATTTTTCAAATAGAGGTTAAATCATTGAAAACACTTTACAATTTGCTTTAAAATCTTTTGTGTGTGTGTGTGTGTGTTAGAGAAGTCAAACCTACAAATATTTTGCAACAATAATATATGAATTTAATCGACCAACTTTTAATTGACACAAAATTAGTATAGGAAATCAGACTATCTTGAGTACAATTTGGAATTTATAGGTATGAGTCGCCGAAAGGCTTGTCCAATTTTGAAAACTTGCAAAACATCACGAGTATCTATGATCCAGAATTGTACAAGAAGATTATGCGAAATTGAGCAACTTAATTGGGACTCTACAGAGTACAATTTGGGGTTAACTTGTACTCTTCTTGTCCAATCAGAATCAAGTAATTTTGTAGAGTGTATTATAAAGCCATATATAATGTTTTAAGTAGTTCTTTCTCTATCTTCTGTTATAATATTAGCCATTCCAAGGTTGAGGAACAATGTTTTTAGCTGGCTTTGCAGTGCATTGTGGGGGCATTTGAGGGGACACTTCCAAGATGGCATCCATTTTGTTTCCTAAAACAGCTCAAAAATGCACTGCGTTGCCAACTCAACCTAACTCAACTTGGAGTGGCCAATGTTCCTATATTGTTAGGCTGGTCTTTACATGGGACTCTTGTCCTGTTGACCATGCCCTCAATTGCCCTATTTCACTATGACATCACATCAAAACAATCTATTGTTTCAACGCAAAGGATCATGGTCGTTGGAGGGGGTCAAATCAACGCAAATTCACCGAAAATTGTTCTAAAACCCATATCAATCCACAAAGAGAAGCAGAATAGCCAGCAAACACTCAGAATATTTTTTAGTACATATTAACACATATTAAATCTGAAAACCAGGCCATTTTAGATGTTTCGCTAGGAGCAAATTTTGTTGAATTTTCTATTGGATTTGGCGATTGTATCCCCCACATAAACAAGCAGTGACGTCATAGTGAAACAGGGCAATTAGATATAATCATCTGATTGTAAAGTACATATTAACACATATTATATCTGAAAACCAGGTCATTTTAGATTAAACTGTTTCGCTAGGAGCAAATTTTGTTGAATTTTCTATTGGATTTGGCGATTCTATCCCCCACATAAACAAGCAGTGACATCATAGTGAAATAGGGCAATTAGATATAATCATCTGGTTGTAAAGTTGTTAAATAAATAAGAATAAACAAATTCCCAGAATTCTGTTGCTTAAAGTGCTAGTCTTACGAAAATGACACCATCCCTGGAAATTGTACCATATAAAACAAGATATGTAATATAGCTTACTGTCCAAATTCTTTTTCAATACGAGACTGGGAAGATGTTGCATTTAGCTGGTAAAGTTTGGCCATTTGAGTCTGCCATGAAGCGATTGCATTCCTGGCAACTTTTAGTGATTCGAAGGAAGTGACGTCATACGCGCAACCCTTCAAAATTCCCGGCTTTTCACAATGTGTAATTGCAACTAAATTTCGACTATTTTTGATTTAAAAACAAGTCTTAAACCAAGTCATGCCTTCTTACAGAGAATGCTGTAGAGTCAGTCAATTATTGGTTATTGCTGAACATTACTGTATAACCTATTTAAGCATATATACATAATCGGGAATTTTTTTGCGTCATTAATATTTTCRTAAGACTAGCACTTTAAAGGCCACAGAATAAGTTTTATTTTTTCTTGCTTTTATTTTTTTTAATAGACCAAATTTTTACCCAAGAATGATTTATCAAATTCACAGCATCAGGATAGCAATGGGGAGGTTGTTTCATCGTCTGTAGGCGGCAAGGCTTCTAAAGTTGTCGTTAAACAGGAACCCCCAGATACACACAGTCAGGAACCACAGAGAGTCGTAATGAGAAGTGTGTCTGTAGGGACTCAAAACCTTCCAAATATCAAGCCTAAACCAGTAGTTCTTGATTCATCACAGGTTTGTAAATGATAAAATGGAGGAAAGAATTAGATGAACTYGTGGTTCTCTATGTTTAATTGATGCTGAATGAGATTTGTCTACATTACTGCCATTTAGGTTGTCACCCAAGCCACAGTGAATGTAAAGGGACGCACAGGCGTTATAGCGGTGTGAGCACTTGCCTCTCATCAATGCAACCCGAGTTCAAGTCCCGCCGGGATCAGTGTTGTATATGAGAAGAGTTGTTTGTTGGTTCTCCCCTGTGCTCCAAGGGTTTTCTGGGTTCTCCGGTTTTCCTCCCTCCGCAAAAATCAGCTTCTAAATTCTGATTCGATCACGGAATGAGGGCCACAGGTTTGTTAGCCACTGGCTATTAAGTGCTCCCCTTGTGAAAAAAGGACGCTTTTTTTTTTAATGGCTCATGGTGAATATCATTTGGAGATATTTTTCAGAGCAAGACAGCATCAGTTTTACTCCTGAAGATATAAAGTAATTTTAAGATCCTGAGAGTTGGCCAAGCCACAGGGATCAAACACATGACTTCCCCCACAATAGTCCACTGTCTAACTGACTGAGTCAATCAGGAGGTGGCCTATTAGACCTAGGACTTCATCAGTGCTAGTGCTATTGATTTGATTATAGACCCCTTGCAGCAAGTCTCAATGCAGCACAATTTGGAGGACAAAACAATAGGCTTCCAATACTCAGGAGATTGAAATTCTTTTGTTTTTTTCCTCCAAGTTGAGCTGCTTTAATGTCATACACAATGACATTGAAAGCTCTTTCTTTCTCCACAGAGTGGATCATCATTCTGCAAAAGTCCCACAAGTCCTTTTGGTGTGAAATCACCTTCCTTTAATATATCACACAGACAGTTCACTAGTTCCAACCTACCTTCTAGTGGCAGTATGAACATAGTCACCATTCACAAGAACCATGGGGGTGTTGTGACAGTTTCGCATAGTCGACCATCAGTACAGATCACTGGCAACCTTACTCCAATTCTCCCAAAACCAGTTGTCATGGAAACTAGTAGAATAAAGAAAGAAGAGCCACCACCTATCGACAAAGAGGTAAGGTAGATTTACGCTAATGATATGCAATTTTATGCATGTTAGTAATGAATATTATTACTTTTAATTTACAATATTATTAAATTATTTGTAATGTCTTCACTACCTTACGTCTTGGATCCTTCTGCTGTCATTAATGAACTAATTTCAAGTGAAAAAAGCAATGTTTGGTTACAGAAAATATCCATAAGTACCCAACCATGGAAAAATAGTGGAAACTCACAGGGGATGGGGGGTCAGAGGAAAAACAAAATAACAAGGCTTTGATTTATGGAAGCAAATTGGAAATTTCAGAGGGGTAAGGGGGAAATTGTTTTTTCAAATTTCCTCCATGGTGGGGTATGGAAAATTCCTGGAACCAACTTTCATATTTTTATTTTTCTTATTTTTAACTGGATTAATTTTAGAAACTGGAATTCATGTCAGCACTTGGTCTCATCACTCCACAAACGATGATAGGTAAGACTTGCAGATCAAATTATAATATGATACCCCAGCCTATTTCACAC